AAATGAAGGTCCCCCTAACAATGTTATCTCAGGAGATTCATCGAAACCAAGTTTCTCTTCGTATTTAATTATTGTTTTTTTAATTGTGATGGGTAGTTTAATGATAAGACACAGATTTTTGTTTTCTTTGTTGATGTGGGAGTATTTGGGGGTAGCTAGTTACTTGTTAATTCTTTATTATTCAACTTCTGGCGTGCTGGCTTAATAATTATGTTAGTTTCTCGTGTGAGTGATATTGGTTTTTTTTGTTTTGGTGGGCTATACATTTGTATGTAAAAGGTTTAGTGGTTGAATTTTGTGTGCGTGTATTGTGGTAATTGTATTAACAAAGAGAGCTTCTTTTCCATTTGTTTCTTGGTTATTGGAAGCACCTTGTCTTGAGTATATAGTATCCATGATAAATTGCAACGCCTGACCATGGACCTGGTACATTTCCAGACGTTCCGCCGGCATCGTCAATGAGTCTTGTCAGTCTTAGCAGCGCAGTGCAACTCGTCGAATAGAGGAGTCTGCCCCACATAGACAATACGACAAGGGTGCAAAATCTGACAAAAATCTGATCTGCAGAGGGGTTCTGAATATTTTCCAAATGAAGGTATTATCAATGAAAGAGTTGATATTTCTTTATACATGATCCTGACGTTTCATTTACTCAGTACTTCGCATATCATCTTCTTAAGCTAACAGGACCCTGGCATCAGGAGTGTGGATGAAGTTGTATAATTCCTTATTTTATCCTAATTAATGGTTTCCTTTCATCAAATTTCTTAGCATTTCGAACTTTTTAACAATTAAGCCTAACAGATAATTGCTTTCACCTAAGATTTGTTTTAGCCTTTTTAACTTTTAATTCTAATAATTCCATCCATTAGACGTAAACTCCTTATTATCATTGATTTCATCACTTTTACCTCAACGCCATAAGAAGAGATTAACGAAACCCATATTTGTGTATTTCTTATCTACATGCCTACCTAATTTGTTCCCTTATTTAATAACTAGGATATCGAAAAAAGGCAAATTATAATTATTCTTTTCTAATTGCATAGTGAATTTAGTCGTCCTATCCAATCTATTCATTAACCCAAGAAAGTCTTCCAGATCACAAAGTAGTCCTCCATACCTCTGACTACTAGTTTGGGAACTAGTAGTGCTTCTTTAAAAAGCCCGACCTCCAAGTGGGCCATGTAGTTATTTGCTAGAACTGGAGACAAACACGATCCCATGTCTAGACGATTCATTTGCCAATATTCGTGAAAGCCCTACTTCTCATAAGATAATGCATTCATTGTCACGTCCATCCATTCAGTTGTCTGTCTAGCTATTCATGTATCCAATCAAAAGGACTACTTATCCATCCCATCATTCATCTATCCAGTTTATGCTCAGTCTATAATGAGGTTGTCGAGACTACCAGCATTCATCCTGTTTCGTTTAACGTGATGACGGTCTGATAATTGAATTTTCCGACAATCATGTGAGTCGACCTCATGTTTCCATTGCTTTGCATACAGTCTTGCTTCCCAAAAGGTGTGTTCATCCATCCACCAACCAGTCCATGCATTTCTCCATCCCTTCAACCATTTGTCCTTCTATGTACCAATTCAAACAACCCATTCGTTTACTTTTCTTATTACAGGTTGTTGCGGGAGGTCACTTTGAGACACACGACACTTGCCAATGGCTTCCGGCTGAATGTACCGTGTCCACTCTTCCCGGAGGCCTTGGATTCGATTCCACAGCCGACATGGCATCTGTCGGAGGGTCTGACGGGGCAAAGCCAGAAGAAACGACAGCTCCCTCGGACAGTGAGACAGACGAGACGTCCAGCTCGATTTTCTACATGATCGAGGAGGGCGTCCGTAAACGTGTGCATGCGAGAGCACACAAGTTCTACTCCCCATCTCGTCAGGCCGGCTCATCCGGTCATTCACAGCCACAAACCCTCCTCTCGCTCGCCCCCACGCATCACCACCATCACAAACACACACTCGAGTGCCCCATTCCTGAATGCAAGTCGCGCATGTGTCTGGCCAACGGACCGCAGAGGCTGCAGCCGACCGGAGAAGCTCCTGCGGCCGCCGGTACCGGACTCGTGGCTCACACCACCCTATCCCTGACAGCACTCCCCTCAGCCTCCACGATGCCGACGGCTTCGTGTCAAGACGTGGCGCCTCCCAGCCCCGGGGAGTTGGCCGAGATTCAGGTCGTCTCGAACGTCATGTTGCAGCCGACTCAAGGCGTGTTGGCACCGATACCAGCCTGTTTCTCAGAGTCACAACAGGACATTCGTAGTGTACGTTCATTGTCGCTGAACCCATTGCGAAGAAATG